TAAGCTCAAACAACATTGGGTAGTCAATGTGAAGAGAAGCTGCAGCATTGTAGTTTGGATTAAAAATGTTAAATTAATGGTTCAAACAAGAAAAAGCAACTAACTGCCAATTGGAAGAAAAGAACTATGGAAACTAACCAAGGCGATCAAGAGCAGATGGAGGCATTATAACTGAAACAAATAAATAGAAGATAATATGAGAAACCATGTTCAGTAATACACACACTTATAAAAAAGAACAGTTAAAAAATCCATTACTTACTTTTGTCACCATTTTCTAGATGAGGCTGCAGAAAGAAAAGTTATGCAGAGTCAGTAACTCAGTATTTCAGATTCATTCTTAATTTCATAAATATATGTACATTTTCCTTTTCTTTTGCTTTCTATGTGTTTTCATGGTAGCATCTGAAATTTTTATTCAAAACTTCAGGAACTGAATTTCAAAGGATTCTAAATTCTTTTTGATGGAAAACATGCAACAAACCAACGAACCTTGTCAATGAAAGAGGCAGGGTAGCATCGATATGTTTGTTCGAATGATGTTCCATGGTAACCATATCCATCAAAGAACTGCAATTCCCAAGGGAAAAATCAAACAAGGCATAGTTAAAGAAGGAATGCACAAGATTCCTATATTATAAGAACTAAAGAAGCAATCATAAGGAAAGTCTAATAACCTTGAATTTCTATTCTACTAGCCTATCATTGAGAATTGAGAATACATTAAAAACCAGATGCAAAAATGATGGATTACACAAGTAATTCCATCCCCTGAACCAACAAAGGATGTGCAAAGCAATGAACATTGAGTTACCATTAACAAAGATTGAAACTTTGTTCTTATTATCCAAATAAGGTCCAAGTAAAATTGAAATATTACAAAACAGGTGCCATATACGCATAGTAAATTATGTGCATACCATGATTACTATCACTCTTCAGACCAACCACAACCACAACCACAACCACAAGCTCTCAAGTCTCAGCTGTCCCAGCAGACCTATAAGAAAAATTAAAAAATTAAAAATCACAAAAATCATATTTTTATACTTCAATTATGCTCCTTGTCTAATAACTAGCATTCAAGATCAGAAACTTTTATCAGAGATTGAAAGAAGATGCTGAAAACACTGACATCCGATGTTCAGCCAGTCCAATCAACAGAAAATTCAAAATTTTAGTGACAAATTCATTCAAAAAATCCAAAACCAATATAAAATAGTTGAGGCCGCGTACTCTGACAGGAGAATAGAGATGAATGCGAGAATCGGAGGAATTGGAGAGAGTAAGGTGTCAGCTTGGAGAGATCGGAAATTTCAGAATGAATAGAACGGTGGGGGAAGATACGCTTCTGTGCGTATTACGCACGCCATGTCTCGTGCTGCCACGTGCGATCTATTCGCCAAATCGCCATGGGCTTTTATTAACATATATATAGCCCATATTTGTGGGCCGACTGCTGGTGCAGCATTGATCCAAATATTTTTCTATTCAGAGAAATTTTCTTTATTCCAATTAATATTTTCACCCGTGCGTATATACGGAGTGAATTTGTTATATTATTATATTAGTAATTAGTAAAGATATGGTTTAGATCATTTATGTTTGTTAATATTATTATTGGTTGAATTTGAGTAAGTAACTACTAAAATTAATAGTTAATGTGTAGATATATGCATGCAGTGCTGTACCTTGATTTTTATAAATTGGACAAATGTGCTCGTTCTCTAGCAAATTTAATTATAATAATCAATTGTTATCCTAATTTATTTGTATAAAGAATATATTTTTGTCTAGATATATAGCAATTTTGTCCCAAAAAAAAAATTGTCTAAATATATAGCACTTTTGTCCGAAAAAAAATAAAAATTGCAATTGCAGTTGCGCATTCTTTGCAAGTATTTAAGTATTTTTTACCTTACCTCTGCAAATAAGGCGTATCTGGTCTGATAATATAAATTTTACCTTATTGAAGAGTTAAGCTCCAAATTGCTCTTCCTCAATCTTCTATTTCAGTCTGTGTAATGGAGTGCTGGGTTTTGGACTATATTTATAGGTGATTTATGAATGTTTGAATACAACATGGAGTGGGGATATTGAGTTTGATTTTAACTGGGTTTATTACTATTATGTGGAATTAGGCTTGTTTTATGTGATTGCGGGACACAAGTCGGGAAATTAGGAATTTTAGGAATTTTTTATTTAAATCTTAGGGGGGTGTATTCAATCAAGACTTTTAAAGAGTTTCAAAAACTTTTTAAGTGATGGATTTTAAATGACTTTTGTTGAGATTTTGTAGACTTTCATAGAATCTTTTAAACTTTCATCAACTTTGTAAGAATCTTTAAAAATCCATTGGACAAACATTTATAGACTTTTAAAAACTTTTTCATATTAAAAAGTCTACAAAAGTCATTAAAACTCTAAATTGAATACACCCTTACAAACATTTTTCATAACTTTTATTAATACATTATTTATAATTTTCTTACAAAAATATATTTTTATAAACCATAAATAAACTAATGTATTGCAAAAAAAAAAAAATATTGATTGTCACAAAAATAAAATGAAAAATTACAAATTAAAATATTCATATTCATTTACAGATTTTTGCTGCGAACAGCAAGCTTGCTGTTCACACCATGTTCGTTGCTGCGAACAGCAAGCTTGCTGTTCACAGCAGCAAATTAAAACAAAATTGCATAAATAAAAAAAAATTATAAAGTATAGTTTTATGAAAAGTTTGAAACGTACCGTAAATTTTGGTAGAAATTGATGAAAAATTTATCTGGTTGAGATAGAGATAAAAGTCTATAGAGAAAATTGAAAAGTTCGGGGTTGGAGGGTCGGATTTCATCTATTTATATTAATGAAGAAAAAGTCCACAGAAATCCTATTCTGATAGAGTCTATGAAAGTTGATAAATATTTGAATACCAGTAGACTTTTACAGACTCTATAAAAGTCTGAAACGAATACCAGTATACTTTTAAAGACTTTTGAAAAGTCTGAATCGAATACCGGTAGACTTTTAAAGAGTCTTTAAAAGTCTAAATTGAATACCCCCAAACTTTGAAAGTCATTAAAAGTCTTTAAAATTCTTTAAAAGTCTGGATTGAATACACCCCCCTTAATAATTCAACCAGGCAATTGAGTTTTAATGAAAATTTAAAATTTAGTAAATTTAATAGAGAATTTACGGAGAATTATAAAATTAATAATGGAGAATATAATTTTTAACGGGAAAAAGAATAATATAATATTGTTGAATAGAAATATGAATTTTCATATTGTTGTATTGTATTACGAATATGAATTTGAATGTAGAATTGCAGTATGAAAACAATATATTCTAGGAATTGTATTACACTATTTTATAATATTAGAATATGAATTTTAATGTAGAATTGTAGTATGAATAGGAGAGTAGGAAACAATATATTCTATTAGGAATGGTATAATAGTATATGATTGTTTTGGGCAGAAAGTTAAAATGGAAGATTTTGTTTTTATATATAGTAGAGAAGTAGAGATTTTGATTTATTTTTCATACATGAGAAAATAAGGGACAGTTATACAATGACTCGGTTTCAAAATACACAATTTATATATTGAATGTTTATAATTAAATTGTGAATATTTAGTATGTGAATGGTAAACATTCAATATGTAAACGGTGTATTTTAGACCCAAATCTAAGGTTGACTCCGGTTCACATAATAATTTGTCATAAATAAGAAACATGCACAAAAAAAAAAGGAAAAAAAAAGCATTAATCTTAATCTAACGAGAATAATTATAATACCTACAAATAATCAAAATTGGTATCGTGAAGGAATAATCGAATGAATGAAGTATGATTCTTGTGCCAGAAAAGCTCATAATTATAATTATTCAGGTATGGTAGTCATATAGGATGAAGAAATTACTTTCTAAAAAAAAAAAAAAAAAAAAAAAAAAAAAAAAAACATCGACACTTTTTGAAGGTTGCTTTTGAATTTGGGAATATAAGATTAGGTTGGTAGTGAACAAAACAATGACCACAAGAATTCAAAGATTTCCAAAAAAACATTCTACCAGACATTTATTACGTTTTTAAATTCTTGCATACATTAGATCATGAAGAATCCAAAGATCTCCAACTTTCTTTGTATGCATGCCTACATTAATTATGCTTTCTTTATTCCCCAACTCTTAATCCTTGATATGCATTGACTCATGAGATAAGAAAGCATTGAGTGCAATGTCAACAAATAAGAGGATAGCAATTCAACATAGTTACAAGTTCTATGAAACTTTGATTCCACAACGAACTTTTCTGGGATTCCTGCGCAGAATTAAGATCACATACTTATCATCCATGTCATGAAAACATGGAGGCTTTAGATGATTGAACAAGAAGACGGCCGCAAGAATTGAAGAACTCTTTTATCATCCATGTCATGAAAACATGGCCGCAAGAATTGAAGAACTCTTTTATCATCCATGTCATGAAAACATGGAGGCTTTAGATGATTGAACAAGAAGACGGCCGCAAGAATTGAAGAACTCTTGGTTGTTGACTAGTCTTTTCCCAGAACGGCACAACATATCTCCCAAATGAAGAAAAGATGAAAAGGGGAATCTTGAAATATGCCTGTCAATTGTCATGTAAACAATCTTTATATGATTCAATGCCATTTCTCAAAATTTTCCAATTATATATATATATATATATATATATATATATATATATATATATATATATATATATATATATATATTTGTCAAAAAACAAAAAAGCATCTGGCAACTTGAATGAACACAAAACCACAACTCTGATCACTGAAATATGGAGATATTATGCCAAGAGAATACAAACACAACCCACAACCACAAGATCACAGTATCTAATTCATCTCACTTTACCAAATGGACCATAACCTCCTTCCTAGCACTGGCATCTTGGAACCTTGTTAGAAGAACATCATTGTAGAACCAACCACAAGGTTAAGAAGAAGAGACTAAAACAAAGCATAACAACATTTAGGAACAGAGAAGTTTTATACAGAAACACTAGAAATAGAGGAGGGGAATTAACTTCCCTTCTCTGTCAATCACAAAGAAAAAGATGCAAAGCAAACAGCAATTACAGCATCCTTTCCAGAACAACTAAGTAAGCAAATAATACAACTAGTAACTAAAGGTAACAGATAACTCAGACTACAGTCTAAAGACGGAGATTCTACGCCGCTTAATCTCAAGCGGCACAATAAGACCAATGTTCATCCTCAGCAGCAGCAGCAGAATCAGCAGACGCACAAACAACCTCGCTACAGCGAGACGAGGAAGTTGTCACGAGATATGGCATATTATGGAAACTGCGAGCAAAGCTGCTGGAAAGGGAATCAAAGGCTACCCTGTCGTCTTCTCCACCACCACGACCAAGCATGGATTCCTCAGCGCGATGCTTGAGAGTCTCGAACATAAGCTCGGGCTCGTGCTGCATCACTCTGAGTACATCCGCGCAAGAATGGCCAGGGACAGCACGCGTCACACAGAAACTATGAGGGCCATCAGTCTGGGATACACGCACAACGCTAGGGCCACCGAACAGGTTGTGGAATCCTCCGAGCGCCTCCTCGTAGGCCCCACCCAAGAACATCCCCAAATAGTATCTACCACCACCACCACCATCACCATCGCCATTGCCGCCACCTCTATTGCCTCCCAATTCATGGAGGAGCAAACTTGACTCTCCACCAATGAACTTATTAATCTTCCCATCACTGTCACAAGTCAAGTCTGACAATATTCCCCTCACTCCAGGTCGTTCATCAAGCCTGTGAATAGGAACAATAGGAAACAACTGCCCAATGGCCCAAAAATCAGGAATTGAAGTGAAAATTGATAGGTTCACATGATAAGTGCAGGTGAGATCAGAAGCTCCACCAATGGCCTTAGTGACCAAATCACAAATGCCATCCACAGCAGCCAGTTGTTCCATGCCCAAACTTCCTTTCTTGAACTGATCAACACATCTCTGCTTAAGTTGATCAGCATAGAGGAAACAAGTATCATTGTCACCTCGAATTGCGGCTGCAGAAAAGTTCCTATAATCAGCCTGGGCATCCTCATTAAGAAGCTCAACAAAGGACTGGATATCTGCAGAAGAGAGATTTGATGGGTTCTGGGAACTGGAAGAAACAGCTTCGAATACCAGAATGGAGTGATGAGAAACAATTGCCCTTCCACTTTCGCTGCAAAGAACAGGGTGATTTACACCCTTACGATCACAGACAGAACGGACAGAATGAACAACAGCCGAGGCATATTCATTGAGGCTATACCCAACCGAAAGATCAGAATCAGTTGATTTTGAACCGTCGTAATCGATTCCAAGTCCGCCGCCGATGTCAATGACTTTCATGCAGGCACCGAGACGGACTAGTTCACAATAAATCTGAGCGGCCTCTCCAACGCCATCGGAAAGCAAGGCCGTTGAAGGGATCTGAGATCCAATATGGAAATGCAATAACTGAAGACAATCCAACATTCCAAAATCTTCAAGCTTTTTCACTACCCGCAAAATTTGAGTTGTGGTCAACCCAAATTTACCTTTCTCGCCGGAAGTGGACCCAAAATGGCCGGAATGCTTGGTTCTGAGCTTGGCCCGGAGCCCAATCACCGGCCGGACAGCCATTTTCCGGCTGACATCAATCACAATATCGAGCTCCTCTTCTTGTTCAAGCACAATCACGGCGTTCAAAAGAAGCTTCCTTGCGACCAAAGCAAGGGAAATATACTCAGCATCCTTAAAGCCATTGCATATCAGGAGGGCTTCTGGGCTTCCCTTGCAGAGACAGCTCATGGCAAGAAGGAGCTCCGGTTTGGACCCTGCTTCAAGCCCGAACCGGAAGGACGACCCAAAGTTCACGATATCCTCGACCACGAACCTGTCCTGATTGCATTTCACTGGATAAACGCCCTGATAATGAGCCCCGTAGCCTTGCGACTGAACGGCGTAATTGAAAGCAAATTGTAGAGATTCCAGACGGTTCTTCAGCACATCTGGAAACCGAACAACTACAGGGAGCGGTAACTCGAGTCCCCCCATTGATTTCGGATCCGAAACCTTCTTCAATACCTTGAGAAGATCGATCTCTCGGTTGGGCTGCGTGTCCGTACCATGGGGACGGACGGAGATATTGCCTGACGAATTGACGGTGATGTACGGAGCACCCCACCCGTCGATCCGGTAAAGCGCGGATGACAGCGCGGGGGACCAATGGGAGAAATTGGCAATCGTCGGCGGAGACACGCCTGAGGAGACAAACACCTCCGGCGCCGGAATAGAGCCGTTCATTGCGTCTATGCAATATGCCACGGCAGGCATATCTCTTCCCCGATTAATCTATTTACCTTTGGAACCCGAAAAAGAAAGAAGTAATGAATCAGGAAAGAGAAGTTATTTGTAGAGATGAATTATGCAGATAGAAGTCTCCAACTTCGTAAAGATGGGGGCTTTAGAACCCGCCGAGGCCGGAGCCCCGGCTATCCCCCTCAAAAGAAGCGAAAGAACACCCGATTCAAAAGACAACCCGTCTCGAGCCGACGCCTACTCAACCCAGAAATCTCCACGCTGAACGCTCAGAAGAAAAGAATTGCCTTGGTTAACCGAAGAGGTTGCAACAGAGAATTGAAGGAACACAAAATCTAAGAACAGAACACGAATTTCACCATGCAAATCTCGGGAAAATGACATAAATTAAAGGAGAAATGAAACCTAACGGCGGAAGAGAAGAATGAGACGTATGAAGCCGAGATTATATGTGATTTCAGGAGGCGTTGAGTGAGAATTGCATGAAAGGCGATGGTGCTTTATATAGTAGGAAGAAGGTCTGGGCAGTGGGCCCTTTTCTTTGGGCCAGATTGAGTTTCTCTTTTATCACCTCGACCACGAAAACTTGCTGCTTCTCGTTTCGTGGGTCGAAGGTTCGTTTCTGTGACGGACGACCGGCGGCGAGTTGTCACGTAATTCTCTGATTTCTCTCTGTGGGTGGGCCCCGAATTCCGTGATTGTTTCTCTTTTTTCAATTCAATTCAGTGATTCAGTCCTGTACTATGCATTTATGCAGTGGATGTCTTCAAATTGATGAATAATGAATGATTCATATTTTTTTGGGGAAATAATTAATGAATGATTCATGTTAAATTTAAATGTGAGCCTATTACAACTAACGAGTTCGTATTTTATTATTATTATTTTTTTAAATCAAGTGAATTTTAAAATTTTAAATATTTTAATTTGACTCATAATTTTTTTTTTATAGCTCAGGATTTTCACCGTTGATTATATCTTTAGATCGTTACAAGAATTTAACGCAGAGTAGATGGATCATTGATATTTCTTATGATAGGTATGAAATTATCATGAGAAACTGAGTAGGTTTTGCTCGTGGAGGAGACACCACATATACATATATAGAAAGCTTCCAAGTGCATTTAATTTTGGATTTCTTATATGATTTATCCATGTCATTGTTTCGATCCGCTTATAGTAATTGTTGATTTCGAGTCTTCGCGTCAACGATCAATCGTGCCAAGTTTGTTCTTGACTTATTATTTTGCCTTGCTTCTTTCACTAGTGTAACGTCCGATGTGCTATAAATGTTATCATTAATTGCTAAAGTGAAAAACTTTTCTATATATAAAAAATAGAAAAACAAAAAATTATGTCCATTTAGTTGAGTTTTATGGGTTTACTTCTTATATTCTTTATAAGTGATGATATATAATTCACTCGTATAGAAAAAAAAAAAAATGCTTATATTTTTAATAGAATCATAATTTATATATTAAAAAAAAAAAACATTCATGATTCTTTTTACCCTTGAGTTGGTAGTTTAATCAAATTTATAAATTTTTAATACGAGCATAATTTACATATTTAAAAAAAAAAAAAAAAAAAAAAAAAAAAAAAAAAGACACATTCATGATTGTTTTTACCCTCTCGTAGCTAATAGTCAACTTTTCCTCTTGTGTTGATGACCAGATACCCAGCAACTTGGTGCGAAGGTCCAAACCAACCCCAATTGCATAAACCCCCAGATTCCAGCTAAAGTTTTCACTGCCCCACAGGGCACAGACCATACCTAACAAAGACACCACAACAATAATTATCTGCGAGAATTTCATGAGATAATGACAGACAGATTAGATAACCAAGATAACTTTTAATAAATTATTATGTTTAATTTTAAATATTAATTACTCTTAAAACTTTTTCTAAAGTTTATATTATAAATCTAACTGAGCATTTAATTTTGGATTTTGTTATTGGTATCCATATTAATGAATGGAAGATGAACTTAGGTTCCTTACGCAAGGCAACGCTCTCACTGTAGTATTTGCTGAGGCTCGATCTCATGATCTCCATATAGAAAAGTCACCACATGTCATTTGAGTACAATGTATTTGGCAAGATAAACATGTATAAATAGTGACAAATGTATATATGTAGACTCGATCCAACTTGCACCATATCCCGGCCCATTCAATTCCCATCATCATCGATTGGGATACGATAGCATTGGCTTTAGTTTTGTTCCACAGAATAGAATATAGGTCAAACTAAAGGATATTATTTCATTTATAATAGCACTGTCGAGATACCAACTACCAAGCCATTATATTGTTACGTTGCACTGTGCAGTCTCTTTCAATTATTTATTGAATATTCTTGGACAAAGTGTGGCAATGTGTAATTATCGGATGTACCAAACAAACGACAATCTCAATTGAATTAGTTGTCTAAATAATTTGTTAATCACAACATTTAAAATTTAACTATTTGTGAGAATTATCTATTAACATGCTCAGTTTGAACTGATCAATTATGAACTTAAGTTTTTTTTGAATGTTACTGACTCTATTACAATGTAGTATATGTTTATATACTAAGTTAATTTATCTAATTATGAACCTAAGTTAATTTATCTTATTATGGTCATTTAGATTGGTTTACCAAGCCACATTGTGGTCGGCTAAGTTCACAAGACACTCTTCACCAACAAATACACTTTCAGGTAGCAACTGTAAGCTTCAGGTAGTGTACGTATTGTTTTTTTTTACTAAGATTGTGATTCATGTGGATGCATCACTATATAATGTATAGTAGAATCTACTATACCGACACAATACATTAATTAATATTATAGTAATGTATAACGTTATACACCATTATCAAAATTTCCATAAAATCAGATAAATGCTGTGGACCTGTACTGTACTGTTGTCCATTAGTTCTTGACAGCATGCATGCATGATGTTTTGTATGTATTTATCACCCGCCCCTATCAATCTCCAGCAAAACGTGTTCCTTGTTTTTCATTTTGTCAAAAATGTTATCTACATTGATGGGTACGGTAATGGTGATATATAATTTATACCCAAACTCGATCTCCCCAATTAACTAATATACATCTCTTACAATCAATGCTTTACTATATCATTGCTTTTTGTTGCAAATGTTATTGAATGTGTTCAGTCTTCGTTCATGTAGTTTTGTTTAACTCTTGTGATACAAGGTGGAATTGTCCACTCCAAGCGCCCCGCACCTCGACAGGATCAGACATGATTGTGGAAGGATAAATCATGATGACTCAAGTGATCAACAATGTTGTTGACTATGTTCAACTTTGATTTGTGTAGTTTTGTTTAACTCTTGGTCTTCCCTGGAAACTTCGAATACACAAAGCCCAAAGGAGAAGCGATCACGCCAATCAACATTATGGATATATATTTACTTGTTTGAGATTAAGAGTATTCCAATTTCCAAAGTGCATGCATGAGATTCACGCTTGTCGTGCTTGTCTCCATATCCATGCAATTTTAGGGCTATACAAGTGACTATATTATTGTGATGTATGTACAGTGTATTTCCATATCATGATGATAAAACCAAAAAAAGATAAAATAAATTAAGCAAAAACGTGAATCATTATATGTTGGCATATATGGCCTATACTTTTATACAATCTGCAGGAACGTGACAAAATATATAAATGAACTCCTTAATTACAAAAACACATTATACATAGAGCAATTAATTAATACAATAATAATAAGGTGCATGCACATGAACATGACGTTAGACCTATGTAATGTGATAAAAATAAAAATGTTATTTATTATCAAATTTGGTGAATACTTTGGAATCATAATGAATATTTTGAGAATAAAGTATCTTCAATCATGACCTTATGGGACATGAAAAGTCATTTTTATTTTATTGTTAAAGAAAATGACTTTTCTTTATTTATTATTGTATTTATAATTTTTTGGGGGTAGGAATATAATCCAAGTTCACACTATGATATAGAGAGGAAAGAGTGATAGATTTGTTTGATCATAGTATAAAATAGAAACGGTAGAACCTAAGTGTACACGTGGGATCGGGAAATTGGACGGCTCCAATCTAGTAGATCAGATGCAGTGATGTAAATAGTAGGAGTGGTGAAAATGGGATGTAAGATGATCTAAAATGAAAATTTTTTAGAATATGTATACTTAACCCAATTGTCTTTGTTATGATAATGCATGCCTTACAAGTGGGTTGATATAGTCGTATTAATGTGTCTACAATTACGACTACCCATCATTATTGCATGAACCGTGGTCTAAATTAAAGCATGTGCTCCATCTCAACTAATAGCCTAAACCGTTGTCGCTTATGGCACTGAGAATCGAACCTAGGACCTTTGGTCTGACTCTGATACCAAATTGTAGCATGTGCTCCATCTCAATTAAAAACCTAAGCTAATAGTTAGATTGCACGTTAATGGCTATATGCTCACAGTCTACACATGCACATTTATATGTATCACGGTTTAAAAATATATAATGTACATTATTCTAACTCATAAAATACATTATTCTAGTTAATACATAAAGTACATTATCATATTCTAACTCATAAAAATACATTAATTGGCCCTGTTTGGTAAAATAGTTAGCCTATCAACCAATTTTGACTTATTTGACCAATATTATTTGTTTGACTTGGTTAAAAAATTAATATAAGTGTTTGGTTAATTAATTTTTTGTAACTCCAACACTACACCAAATAAGAGATTTAGCGGCGGTTTTTTTAATGTTTAGCGGCGGTTTGCAACCGCCACTATTATGTTTCCCGGCGGTTATTGAACCGTGGCTAAATAGAGTGTCGCGATCGATTTAGCGGCGATTTTCAACAACCGCGGGAATTAATGAAAAACTCGTTTCGCGGCGGTTTTGTAACCGCCGCTAATAAGTAGTTATTTTTATTTAATGTTTAGCGACACTTACATAACCGCCACTAAATATATTTTTTATTTTTACATTAAATTGTAGCGGCGGTTTTAAAACCGCCGCTAAATTATGCTTTATTTTTTAAATTATTTTTTATTTAATTGTAATGATATTTTTGAACTGCAATTAAAACTTTTCATTAAATTTTATTTTTTATTTGTATAATTCTCATTAAATTACGTTTTTTTCTTGTAAATCTCTAAATTCAAATTTGCATTGCAACCACAAACAAACTCTATATACACATTCAATTGAAAAGAAAATCAATTGTAACAAATATTTGTCAAATAATATCAAACAATATTCAAGAACAATTGTCTACATATTAATTGAAATGTGCATACATAACTAAAAAGTATTTTTACATGAAAAATATAAAGCAACATAATAGTTTATTCAATATGACGATTTCATGCAAAATGAAATTGCCCATTTACATCATTACTAGACGATGAATATCATTTTTCACCCTTGATGAGAATTGATAGGTCATGAATTATATCATTTTCACCCTCGATG